GGCAGCATCTGCAGCTTCACCATCGTGTGTCTTTGTGTCCCTGAAGACCTACCAGGACCTGAAGAGGTTCACCATGTGCAACAAATGGCAGCGCACATGGACGCAGCGCCCCCTTCAGGAGACAACGACAGCGAACGTTTAGGGTCTTATCCCAGATGCTCATTCCGTAAAACTTGCTGATTGAATAATCCTGAAGAAACGCTCTCTCATCTTGTCTGTACTACTGTGTATGTAGAGCAAAATGACAAGAAACTTGATTTGATTTGATTTGTGGCACCCTCTCCTCTGAGACACATTAGATGTGATCCCTGCTGTGTTTTACTACACAGTTGCTCATTATGTGTTTAAGCAGCNACAAATCCACTCAGAAAATGACTGAAACATCGGATTTTAGGTCTACGTGTGTAAAACAGCAACATCACAGAGCTTCATCACATGTGATTGCTATGAATACTCAGAATTACAGGTGATCACAAACATGCAGTTTAGTGGATCTCTGTACAGAAATGTAGAGATGATTTATTTGACGCTCTCTACGCACTTGATGTGTGTGAGGTCACATCTGACTGAGACTTTGAGAAGGAGCTCGAGTTTTCTTCTACAAAGGATCTTCTGATTTTCACATTTTCAGGCCCTCTCCTGGTTCTGCAGCATGTTTTTTTTTCTGTGGCTGCTGAGTGTAATTCTGGTGCTTTATTCAGATGGACATGAGAGATAATGATATTGTCAGGAAGTGCAACTCACACTGAATCTAAACATACGTCTTTTATGTTTGTGAGTTCAGATCTGACTGAGATGTGCTTCTGAGAAACAGGACGGTTTTCTTCTACTGAGGAGCTGATTCTTAGATGAGATTCTCAGGCAACAGTTCTGTTCATCGGGTTCTGCAGCGTCATGTTTTCTGATTTCTGCTCAGACTGAAAAACATCCGTTTTAAGATTTGTCAAACGGTAGAGAGACAACAGTATTTCTCCCACAATTTTCACACTTCACCGTTCAACCAACCAATCACATTCAAGCAGCCGGCTCATTCCAAAGACTCCTAAAATCATTCATGCTTCATGTTCTGATCCAATCATTACATTCGATTGATTATGTGAGATGTTTGATTCGTCTGATTAGATTTGTTCATCGCTTGGATTCATTTCACACTGATGTTTTTTTCATGGCGGCCATTTTGAGAGCTCATGGCAGGAAACTGGCTGAAAAATTCATTTATTTAAAAAAAAAAATTTAGCCTGACAGTCTAAAATAACATAATTCCAAGTAAAAATGTCACCTTGTTACAACTACAGACACTAACAACTTAGCATCTTTATCAAATTCAACCACAGCTTGAGAAGAATGCTAGCGTAGTGTGATAAGTTAGCATACCACAGTAGTCAAGGCTATTTTAATTATATAAATCGAAAAACAAAAGTTTTCTTAGGGGGCTTTACAATTTATATACTAACTAGCACAAACCTGCTAAACGTTATCAACTGTGCTAAATATAAACATGACAAATGTATGATAGCTAAGAACATTTTGCTAAACATTTTCTTCTCAATTCAATATATAAATGACTTTGAGCTAAATTTAGATGTATTAGGGATGTAATCTATAAAAAGTTGTCTGTAGTGAAGCGTTTACAGCCCTTTCTGCCCAAAATGGCCGTCATGTGGTCTGGGTGTTTGTTAGCGAACATACCGGCGAACCAGTCCTCTGAGGGTTTAGCTAAATATCTGAAGAGCAGAGACAGTGACAGTCCGCCTGAGACACAAAACACAAAAACAAGTTTAACATTTAGAGACCAAAAACAGAAAATCTGCTGTGTTTATAACGCCAACAGACAGAATGTCAAGCTGTGAATGACTTCAGCAAAAGAGAACTGAAATCTCTCTACAGCTATCTGATGAATTATGCTTGTTGTTTCAGATGTTTATCATTTATCTGACAGAATACCTGCTGCAACTCAAAGTTTAGTTAATTCATATTAATCCTCCTGTTTCCATGCAGAAGTTACAAAAAATGGAAATAAATTAGGGTCAGGTTTAGGTTTAGGTTCCGGTTCAGTTAAATCTGAATGCCTCTATCTGTGACTGAGCCACATGTCAGGTTAACGAGTGGTGAGTTTTTAGGATTTAATTGAGAGGATCAGGAGTAAATGAAGCAGCGATGTCTCTTTTCACAGTCATGTGCAGGTTTATCACAGATATTTTATCCCAGCAGCAGACCTGTCTGGACATTTTAAACACTGTGTGGACCAGAAATACTCACTGGACTCACGTGATTTGCATGTCAGCACATAATAATAAGACAATGAGGCCAACACAGAGTCCCTAAACTACTCACAGCTCAACATGTGAAGACAGAGAACCTGTTTCATCAATCAGTCCACATGGTATAGAGCTGTTCTCCAGAATATCTGCTTCTCTGTTGAAAAGTCACTTGTGTACATGAAACTTCCACAGGAGATGGTAACTACAACTCCCAAGATGCATTTCAGTAGGCTCAGCTACATAGTCAGTCAGTGGCTAAAGAAGACGCTGTGGTGGTCGATACCCACAGGAATGTCTTTGGCCACAAGGAAAAGGGAAACCAATACAAACTCTTCCCTTCTACAATCATGCAAACAATGATAATACACGAACGCTTCACCTACGATTTCAAACTGGAGCAACATGGCGGCTCGTCTGTAAGCCTACTCTTATACTCTTACAGTGCACCAAAATGTGTTTCTGAAAACATCTGAGATGAGAAATAAGGCGTGCAGTTGCTGACTCGGTCTTATTTTAGATCTAGGGTTAGTCTAAACAAGTTTCCAGAGTCACCGAGTGACAGCTGGGCGCCTCCATTTTGCATAAAGCAGCTTTAGACCTCAACTTTATGCAAATGAGGACCAGCCCACGAGTCACCTTGTCCCTAGAACCACATCACAACACTACCAGGGTGCTTTGCCCGGCTGCTCCCACAGACAGCAAATGGGAGGTGTAGAAAGGACAGAAACCTGAAAACAACTCGCAGCATAAATCAGTTCAATCAGCAACTTTGAAGCATTTTGGTACAAGAAGTCTGAATTCACACCTTTGATCATCTCCTTCTCTACGGCAACAGGATCATAGCTATTGTAGTGCTCTGACCGAGGCACCAAAACGACAGAAAATAGGGCTGATTTCTGAGAAGCTACACCTGTGTTCTGTCCTCCTCATTAGAAACAGGTGTCTGGTCACATGGCAGCAGATAAGAGCCACACATGATTTACAGAGCTGGAAAACATTCACTGCAGCTCACCAGCTCAGGTACATGAACACCTGAGGACAGACATTTAGACATTACATTCATCAGAGTCGATTCCCCGCCCCTCATACAGAGTCTGGTCACACGGCCACGAGGAAAACTGCAGATTCCAGCTCTAAAGAATAAATAACAGCAACCACACAGAAAGTCAGCGGGGTCTGTTGGTCAGTCGATGTTGTTCAGAGTCTAAGTCTGCAAAAAATAAAACAAAAATGAACCTGTGGAGTCGATACATCACCCAGAACTCAAGAGTCCTGAGTTTCTGTGCTCAGCAACACACACATAAAAAAAATGAATGAATGAGAACACAGAGTGAGAACAAACAGCTCATGAATCAGGCTGCAAACACAGGATCAGCCCAAACTCCCACACCCTGCTGAAGTGCAATGAGTAAACAGATCAGCTGGTGTGGGATCAGTAGGGGTGCAGTATGTTAAAGTTGGAATGCCATTAGTCATCAAAAAAAAGTTGAATTTTTTTGATTATTTCACAAAAATCTAAAAAAAAAAAAAAAACAACCTAGAATCAACGTGCATTTTCCAAATGCTCACATGTGTTACCAACCCACAGATATTTACCTATGACTTTGTCTTCTGTCCACCCAGGGTAAATACAATCTGCAGTTCAGCAGAATGACTTTTGGTCACGTGACTGTAGGTCGTGACAGCTGAGTCAGTAATGGCTTCACAGTTAAGCCAAGACATGGAGAAGTTTTTGTTTTTTTTACAGAGTCCGGTAGAGCTAACAGGTCATTTTTGGCTCAGATGTGTAGATTTTATTGAAATACCACAATTTTTAGGTTACAATTTAGGTTTTGTGACAGGACAGCATATGACGTGAGGAGTTTGAAGTGAGGTCAGCAAGTAAAAAATCTGCTCATTCTATATTTTCATAGTTTCTGACAGTTTTTTTTTTTTAATATGGCATGCATTTTGGGGTTCAGAGGGTTGATGTACAGGCAACTTGCTGCTCCATGTACAGATCACACGTCCTCCTTCTGACTGAAGGCTCCAATCACAGCTAAAAGGCTCGAGTCTGTGAAGCTCCAGCTGCAGTTCAGACTGCAGATTTCACCCGAAAAAAACAACACAAAAGGCTCTGGTTTAAAATCGCAGCTCAACCTTGGGGCAGAACTACAACCAGGCACAGGAGGAGGTGGTATGAGTTTGAATGAAAACAGCTTCAAACACACACAGAGGCTCGGCCGTCCGTTAGCTGTTTGGCTTCCTGCCAGGCTGAAGTCAGCGAGGCGTTCACTGACCCAGCAGGAAGAGAGTGAGTTTATGGACACGATAAGCGACCCTGTGGGCCAGTCACAGCTCAGAGTTTATATTCAAACACCTTCATACACACACACGGCTGACCTCTGACCTCAGCAGCCGTTAGACACACGGGAACAGCAGTTTTTTCTACGATCACGGACTGACTTCGTCTAAGAAAACAAATCGAAGCGCAAGAGAAAATAAGCTGAACCTCCGGCTGTCTGAAGTTTTCACCTTCTGTGTCATTCAACGTGTGAGAAACTGGGTATAAAACATAATAAGAGTTCAGGTTTTCAGCACAACTCACAAAACTCTGAAGCATTCCTGTACATGGAAAACATGATGTAAAGGGTTTAAAAAATAGTCTGACTGCTGACGTTAAAATAAAACTTGGGAAAAATTACATCTCAAGGGATAATGATGATGCCAAAAACCCGCGAAGCTGCTGCAGCGACTCACCAAACCAGCGGCGTACAAACACTCGTCTGAGCCGCCGATCGTCCCCGACGCTCCTGAAAGAGATGTTCACCTCCTCTTCTGAACAGAAACACCTGACCACAGCAACATCTCCTCCTCCTCCTCCTCCTCCTCCTAGAACTCGCCACATGCTCCTCTGATACCCCATCAACTCCCAAACGATCCCCCTCAGAAAAATATCTTCACAAAAGTTTAAAAAGAAAAATCAAACCAGACAAACAGGGGAAGGAGCTCAGTTTTCCCACAGCTTCAAAGGCGCATGAATGCTCCCACATGTGCATCCAGTCCAGATGTTACTACAGAGCTTTAAACAGAGAAAGAGACGGGAACAACGGGAGGAAAAAAAAAAGGAGGAGTTATAGAAGGAGGGATCACAGGAATGAGGAGAGGAAAAAGCAAACAGGAGGAGGAGTTACTGAAAGAATCATTAAAGACAAGAAGGAGGGAGCGTCTTTTAAAAGAAGGAAGAGAAAGACAGATGAGGAGGATAAGGCAGCCGGATGTCAAATAAACCAGACGTAGCAGGAAGAGGAAACCTGCAGCTCAGAATGAGGCTGCTGTGCTCGTACAGGTGCAGATATACAGCGGAGCTCTATGTGTTGACCTACAGACAGCCACAGCTACAGTCGTCCTCAGATGTATTCACACCCTCCCATTAACGAAGGAAAAAAACAGCTGGAATAAGATGAAATTGACAAAAGTAATAATAAATACAAAATGTAATAAAAATCATGACATTGCTTTTGAATTGTGGTTCAACAGAAATATTTAAACAAAAAACCAAGCAAACAAGCATGATGGGACCTGTAAACTAATATTCTGTTGAACAACCCTTTGAGCCGATCACTGCTATCAGGTGTTTTCTGTAACTCTCAGTCAGACTTCTGCACCTGTTGACAGATATTCTGATTTCACTGCTCATCAGCAAAGTGCTCCAATTTGTCCGGGACAGTTTTGATTGTTTTTTAAAATTATTCTTTTCAACCACAACTCAAAAGCAATGTCTTATTTCACTGAATTATAATTTAGCAAATTGTTATTTTTCTGTGAAGATTCTCAGTCCTTCAGGTCATGGTTATTCTCATAGATTAATTGTAGCAACTGGACTTGCTTGAGTTCCTTGAAGACGTTTCACCTCTTAGCCAGGGAGGACAGAGGCTTTGAGAGAGGGGTGAAAGAAGCCATCTATGTCAAACTGGAAAGACCATCACTCAACAGAGGTGGAGGTCTGAGGCATCACCTCTCACCTGTTTACAATTCAGTCCTAAGATCTCTCCCCAGGAAGATGAAACTGCATTCACACCTCGTCACAAAGACCCTAACGAACCCCTTTGTTGTGGCAGGGGGAGCACTAACGACTCACATAACGAGAGGGAGGAGCAACAAACCCCCAATTTAAACCGAAACTCAGGTGTTAGTGGCTCCTTTAGGATATAAGTATGTGGAACTCCCAACTAGTCAGTCAGAACTGATGAAGCCTCTTGGATGAAACGTCTTCAAGGAACTCAAGCAAGTACAGTTGCTACGATTAAACGTTGAGAACTTTTTTTAATGTATTATTACCTTTTTCAGTTTCTAGTTACCGGAGTGACTGTTGTGAATTGTGCCTGTTCTTTAATGGAAGGGTATGAATACATCTGAGGACGACTGTATCACTGCTCATCAGTCACTCCTTGCTCATCCATGATTCTACTGTTGAGTTTTGTTCACCAGCAATGCCTTCTATGAGGCAACAGAAGCATCCTGGAGATTCGAGCTCCACCTCTTTAATGAAATTTACTCATGTTTTTTTTTAAAGAAAAAGCAATTTAAAAAAGGAGTTTTGTCAACCATGAACTGTCATGCTGTCCACTTCTTGTCACATGACCTTCCAACAGTCTTCATCATTTTTGCAAATTTGGTGGAAAAAGAAGCACTGCAAGTTTTTCTGGGAAAACAGCAACATGATGGACGTAGAACTGAAGAGTTCACTTGCAAAAACAGATAACTCCATTTTTGTAGATTTTCAGAAAACATATTTTTTTGTTGTTTGCTTGAGATAATATCAGTCAAACTGAAGTGGAGGTGATTTGTCTCAGTAGAAATGACAAAAATAGAGATAACTTCAGTTTGATTGATATTGTCTCAGGTGGACGATGGAAAGCTGGGTTTTCTGAAGGTGTGTGAAGATGGAGTTATCTTTAACTGATCTGCCTTCCAGGGTTGCTGCTGCCCATCCAGACTTTTCCATGAGTACAAGTCTGGAGAGAAGCATGGCCTTCTATACTTCAATTCAGGAATTAAACATCCCCTCTTAGCTCACACAAACATGAAACCACACATCAGTGAAGTGACAACAGGAACAAACTCTGCCAGTGCTGCGAGCTGGAAGGACACGAATCTGCAGGAGGAGACGATGCAGCAACACAGTGTCAGAGAATCAAATCACTGCTGCAGGCGAGTGAGGAAGCTGCCGCACTGCAACATGAAATACTCCATCACATCGACAGGCTGCTCAGAAAATGCACCTGTGAGCGTTGAACTGTATCACTGAGATGTTCTGTGTGTTTAACGTGGAGCCACTTCAACTGTTTTATACAACAGAGAGCAGCAGAAGTGATCGACTCAGCTCAGCTTTCTGTGTAAACCTGCATCCAGCTACAAACAAGAACTAAAGCTGCCAGATGAATGTAATCCTCCTCCTGTGACGACCTGCAGCTGACCTCTACCTTTACTCGCTTTACTATGTGACCTACAGGAGACTTTGATCTCAACGGGAGACGGAGAAAGAAGGTCGGAGGAGGAGAGGGGAGGGTGGTTCAAATCAATCACCATATTGATATTCGGGGTTGGTTTCATACTCCTGTAAGACAGTCTTGCTCCTCACACCGAGCAAAAGTAAACTTAAAATCACACCTTCTTCCTCCTGCTCAGGGTCAAAGGTCAACACAGAGACAGGAGGACCAGATACTAAACAGCTCAACGCTAGATGTTGCTCCTGCAGGAAACACCCGTCTCATGTCATTGTCATCATGTCAGCAGTCAGCCTTCACTGATGAAAGCAATGTTCTCATTAGAGCTGCAACAGATAATCAACAAGCTGTCAACTATTGAATTAATTGGCTATTATGGTAGGGAACTGTTTTGGCAATCCCTTAATCTCTTTGAATAATATTTTAATTATAAAAAGTTTAAATTCTTTTTCTAGCTTCTTAAATGCAAAAAAAAAAA